GATCTCTTGACCTCGTGATCCACCCACCTCGGCCTCCCAAAGTGCTGGGATTACAGGCATGAGCCACTGCGCCCGGCCTGTGTTTTCAGTTTTAAGTAATTTTAGAATTGTAATGAAATCATGTTAAGTCCCACTAAACAGTGTTAAGTTGTGGCCATGTACATAAGGTGTACGGAAACTGCTCCTTGGTGCACTTCCTTCTCATAGCCTATGTGTTCTGAGAAAATAATCTATTTCTTTCTACTTCTTAGGGGCCTTTCTGGCTAAGAGAATAATTGCTTGCCACGTAATTTCACCAGTAACGCCCTTCTTGACAGCTAGCGTCCGTGAAATTCATTTAGCAGTTTCTCATCCTCATGACAAACATGAAATCTTAGGTTAATGCTACCTTTCTTTGTCCCATCTTCTCAGTGAGATTATCTTCCCTTCAGGGACAGTCCTGACAGCCTTGTCTGTAATTTTATCTTCTTAATTATCTATAATAATCTTAAATGATTTTAGTTTTTGATTTTGCAGACAGCAAAGGGTACCCACACGTTATGTCAGAAGCACCAACTTGTTTGGCTCTCCTGAGTTGTTCTGGCAGGGTGTTTGGGATGTGGGTCACCAGGTGTGACTGAGCTTTTGTGGTTTCAGTTCGTGGGCGAATTGGTGACCCAGTGGTGTGGAGGCTGCTCTTAGATTTCCAGGGCATGGCAAGACTATGTACATAACAATTTGCAGTGGCAGCTTCCCAGTGGCCATAATAATAATCAGTTCACATTTACAGTGTCCAGAAGACAGAAAACATGCCTCTTACCTGGGAGACAGGAGACCTGAGGCAACGTTTGAGGGCCCTCCTCAAAGGGGCTGCTTTGATGATGAGATCCTTTGTTACTTCCCCACCAAAGAGGGGAGCGCATGTCATATCAGAAAGCAACAGCCTCAACTTTGGAATTCTAAGAACGTTTTAGGCTGGGTGCGGTGGCTCATGCCTGTGAACCCAGCAGTTTGGGAGGCTGAGGCAGGAGGATCACCTGAGGTCAGGAGTTTGAGACCAGCCTGGCCAACATAGTGAAACCCTGTCTCTACTAAAAATACAAAAAGATTAGTGGGGTGTGGTGGTGCACACCTGTAATCCCAGCTACTTGGGAGGCTGAGGCAGGTGAATCGCTTGAACCCAAGAGGTAGAGGTTGCAGTGAGCCAAGATCATGCCATTGCACTCCAGCCTGGGCAACACTGAGACTCCATCTCCAAAAAGACCCCTTTAGTCAGTGGTTTTTCCTTCTGAATAGCAGGAAAGATTTTCAGCAAATTGTCCTTGAAATTGACGTAGAAGTTTCATGACAAAACAACTTTCTTGCTTTCCGAAGGACTTCTTCCTATCTGAACCGCCTGGAGTCATCCTTGTTTTCCCTGTCCTAGGAATATGAAGACAAGGCTGGAAGACCTAGCAAGCCACCCTCTCCAAAGCAGAATGTGAGGAAGAATCTGGATTTTGAGCCACTTTCCACCACCGCACTCATCCTTGAGGATAGACCAGCGTGAGTTTACGAAGAATTTTCGTAGAATGTTTGCTTTAGTAAATACGTACAACTTTTAATCACCTTTTTGTTAGAGAAAAGCTAGGGTCAGAAGAGGGAAGAAGTGAGCCATAATTACTTCTTATTAACATGTGTTCTGTAATTATATTAAATGACCAGTTTGGAAAACTGACATTTAGCATAGAAGTTTTGACCAGAATTTTCCATTCAGATGATTTTTTTTTTTTTTTACTTTAGCATTTAAAAATAAGTTGTGAGCTCATGCCTGTAATCCCAGCACTTTGGGAGGCTGAGGCGGGTGGATCACTTGAGGTCTGGAGTTGAAGACCAGCCTGGCCAACATGGTGAAACCCCGTCTCTACTAAAAATACAAAAAAAAAGCCAGGTCTGGTGGCAGGTGACTTTAATCCCAGCTTCCCAGGAGGCGGAGGCAGGAGAATCATTTGAACCTGGGAGGCTGAGGTTGCGGTGAGCCGAGATTGTGCCACTGCACCCCAGTCTAGGCAACAAGAGCAAAACTTCGTCTCCAAAAAAAAAAAAAAAAAAAAGGAAGAAGTATGTCTTCTGTTAATTCTTGTCCTTGAAAATTGTATGTGGGGAACAGAAATGGAGGACTGGACAGTTAGAGGCCGTCAGGAAAAGACTCTGCCCTGTGAAGACGGGTCATTTTCACATTCTGAAAGGTGACCTGACGGACTCTCCTGCAGCAAGTGATAGTTCTTCAAACTGTCCTGGTGAATGTGGGTCCTGTTGTGTGAGGGACACAGGCAGCCAGACGCTCCTGCCCTCCCTTTACCCTAGTGCCAGCACAGTCACACGCACACTGCTGAAAGAGAGCACGAACTGCAAATGAACCACATAGCCAGTACGAAATCTGTACACTTTAAAAAATTAGTCAGGAAATTTCTTCTTGCATATGTGCAACATGCTGATAGGGCACCCTGCTTCAAGAATTAAGTGTTGGCCAGGTGCGGTGGCTCAAGTCTGTAGTCCCAGCACTTTGGGAGGCTGAAGTGGGCGCATCACGAGATCAGGAGTTCGAGACCAGCCTGGCCAACATGGCCATGAAACCCCAGCTCTACTAGAAATACAAAAATTAGCTGGGTAGGGTGGCAGCCACCTATAATCCCAGCTGCTCAGGAGGCTGAGGCAGGAGGACTGACTTGAGCCTAGGAGGTGGAGGTTGCAGTGAGCAGGGATCACACCACTGCACTCCAGCCTGGGGGACACAAGTAAGACTCCTTCTCCAAAAAAAAAAAAAACATTTAAGTGTTGACGGTTATTAGTGTATGCAGTCTTTGGAGTGTGGGGTGAAAATATCCCAAAAGATTAAATGTTTATTGCTCTTACAGTTGTGGATAATTATTATTTTCTTCCTGCTATTCTTTATCATTGATTTGTTTTATAGTGAATTTGTTTTTGTAAGAAAGTATTAAAGAAGTTTGTGAAATAACTGTGTAATCTTAAACAAAATGAGTTTTTGTGTTTGAGCTTTATATTTTTTTAGGAAATTATGCTTCAGGTCTTTTACTCAAAGACTTTTATGTGGTATTTATAATGATCAAAACTTATTTATTTCCCATCAAGAAATCTCCCAGCAAAACCAGCTGAAGAAGCTCAGAAGCACAGACAGCAGTATGAAGAAATGGTGGTTCAGGCCAAAAAGCGAGGTAACAGGGTTCACACTTGCTGGGTTAGAGCAGGCAGCGCAGGAGTTGTGTCTTTCTGCTTATTTTCTTTTTACCTTTTGGAATCACAGAACCTGAACTTCAGCCATTGAAATTTGTAGTTTAACAGTAAAAAAAAAAAAAAAAAAAAAAAAAAGCATGTTTTCACTACCCATTCCTGGTAGCTTAGTTCAAGAGAACAGCACTGTGAACTTACCTGAGCAAAGTGACTGTGTCGGATGAAAATACTAGACCACAGCAAGTTTCGGCCATCAGCCACATGGGTGTTTCTTTCTCTCTCTGGGCTGTTTTTAAAATTTCCAAGAAGTTGTGATCGGTTTTGATAAAATCCCTTGCAACGCTTAAGCTCTTTTTCTAGGAGATTTTAAAAATAAGTAACATGGATATGAGGGTGATCTGGCTCTCATCCCTGTCACCCCACTGATCACCAGGGTTGATTCGATTGGTCTGCTGGCTAGCCCAGTATCCCCTTCCCTGCCAGCGTTCCATGTGCATCCCTCTTGAAGCTGTGTGTTTGATCAAAGAGAATGACTGTCCCAGAGGACCAGTCTTTGGTCAGGGGACATGAGTAGTTGCACTCCCCTGCTAGAGTCTCCAGACAGGCTCTCACGGTCCATTTGTAGGAGAATATAGGGTTGTCAAGCTTCCCAGTCTCCAGACACATCCCAACGAGGTGCTGCATGTGGCAGTCTGCCTTTCTAAAAAAAAAAAATTAAAAATGAGGCCAGGTATGGTGGCTCCCGCCTGTAATCCCAGCACTTGGGAGGCCAAGGCAGGTGGATCACTTGAGATCAGGACTTCAAGACCAGCCTGACCAACATGGTGAAACCCCATCTCTACTAAAAATACAGAAATTAGCCAGGCATGGTGGTGGGTGCCTGTAATCGCAGCTACTCAGGGGGCTGAGGCAGGAGAATTGCTTGAACCCGGGAGGCGGAAGTTTCAGTGAGCCAAGATCATGTCACTGCACCCCACTCTGGGTGACAGAGTAAGATTCTATCTTCAAAAAAAAAAAAAAAACCAGAATAATGCCTGAGCTGTTAGAAGTCAGCGTGGAGCAGCCTGAATTTGGAAGGGCGTAGGGCTGGTAGCACAGGAGCAGCTTCCAGTGTTCCAGTAATGTTCGGTGCTTTTGATCAGGATGGTAGTTTCAGGGATTTTTCTGTTTCGTGGTAACTCAATTATATTCTTATTGTGTACTTTCCTGTATAGATGTTATTCTAAGTCCATCGGGTGGGGAGCACGCCGCAGGGGCTGATGTCTGCTGGGCTTCAGGGCTGTTTTCCTGGTGTGTTTGCAGTGTGACAGGAAAATTACCTCGCTTGGAAATGGTGCATATCAGTTAATAGATCGTTGTTTTTCTAAACTGTAATTTCTAGAACTGAAAGAAGCCCAGCGGAGGAAGAAGCAGCTGGAAGAAAGATGCAGAGTGGAGGAAAGCATTGGAAACGCTGTGCTCACTTGGAATAACGAGATTTTACCTAACTGGGAAACAATGTAAGACATGGCCCTGGGTGTGGCTGAACTGCAGAGCATTTCTTTCTAGAATCTGTGGCCCACAGCTGCAGTCGTCGTAGCTGGCAGTGACGACCTGGGTGCAGAGAGTTGAAGTCGTGTCATCTTCCTTCCCTCTGCCCTGGCTCAGCCCGCGCCTTCCAGTTCACCTTCTTCTCATCTCCTGAGCCAGCTTTTAAAGCAATGAGTCCGTGTCACCTTCCTTACCTAGAATTTCAGTAACTTCCTGTGACTCTCAGTATACCGTTCCAATCCTTAGCTTAGCGGACAATACCCTCAGTGAGGTGGGCTGCCGTCCTTGGCAGCCTCACCCTCGGATGCCTCTCCTCTACTTCTATAGAGCCCTCTCCCTAGAGAGCCCCCCCCGTAGGTATTGCTGCTTTTAACCCTGTGTCTGCCTCACATGTTCCAAGCCCTGTGCCCAGGTGCTCTTGTCCTATACCTCCTCAGCCAGGTAACTCCTGTGTGCTCTTCAGAGTTCAGGGAAGACTTTCCTGCCCCCACCCTAGCTCTGGGAGCCTGTGGTTCTGTTTGTGCATGCAGCTGTCTGTTCAGGCTTCTGTCTTCCTCTCTTTGAGGATAGTGACCCCAGTGTCCGGTAGAGTGCACCCACCAGAGTCTGGCAGCTGCTGCCCTCTTTACATCCATGGGGCAGCTGTGGGTCCTGTTTTTATTCTCCTGTGTTCAGAATGGGTGGGGGCCAGTGTGTGGGCGGAAGTCCCAGGGCTGCGCACAGGCATGCTGGGAGCTTGGATGCCAGCTTCCCTTCTGCTCTCATCCCACATGTCAGCACTGCAGCGGTTACATGGCCCTGCTCAGGGTCTCCACTAGGAAGATATGCTCAGAGCATGCTTTTTAAGGTACCGTCCTCAAAAGGCTTGATGCTTTCAGGAAACACTTTATACCTGTTCTCAGATGGAATCTAGTCATAAGAACAGAGGTTCTCAGAATGCTTGCTGCTCCCAGAGAGGGAGACCACTCTGGTCTGTCCTACACCGCCCTGGGTTGGATGTGATGTGAATGCATGCAGACATGCAGTGGCCGCCATTGACTGCACACAGACGCCGCCTGGCACTGTGCTGGGTGCTTTTGTACTTTATCTCAATCCTCACAGTAGCCCTTGAGGGTAGGCGGCATCATCTTGACTTTCGAGAGGATGGTATAGGTTCAGAGAGGAGAGATCGTTTGCTTGGATACGGCAGGTAAGGGTGCAGTTACGATGCAGCCTGCTTTCTGCAGCCTCAAGCCCGTGTGCCCCACAATGCTGTGTTCAGAGACACCTTGGAGGTCTGGTTTGCCCAGGCTGTTGGCAGTGTGTGTTCCTTGTCCCAGCGGAGCAGAACGACTGTACAGTCCAGAATGTTGTAAGTCAGCAGTTCTCAGCAGTGGGCACTAGGCCTGTGTTGGTGCGGCAGCTGCCTGCTGCTGGGGTCTGCTTCTGTCACTAGTGCTGCTGCACTGCCACCTGGCACTCCTTACCGCTCCCAGCTATGTCCTGTTCCTGTAGGAGCCAGGCCATTGCTTCCCCCTGCGATTTTTGCTCAGAAAGTCCTTCACATCGTTCATGTGCTCAGGTCATTCAGGACTTGGCTCCAGAGTGGTGCCTGGGCCCTCTGGTTCGTGGTGCACCCACTGTGCGGGACTCTTCCATACCTGCCACGGCAGCTGCCCAGTGGAACGGGATTGTTGATTTCACTTTACAGAGCCCTGGACTCTAAGCTCCCTGAGGGCAGGGGCTGTGCCTGATACAGCGGTGCATCCCAGCTCCTGGTGGTTCGCGGCTAGGCACACAGGTAGATGGATGTCTTTGCATAGAACAAACTCATAAACTCTTGCTTCCCTTTTTGTCCAGGTGGTGCTCTAGAAAAGTTCGAGATTTATGGTGGCAGGGAATCCCTCCAAGTGTGAGAGGCAAAGTCTGGAGCTTAGCCATTGGCAACGAGTTAAATATCACCCATGGTGAGTGGCTTGCATGATCCCGGGCTCAGGGAGTCCACCCCCAGGCCCTGTGATGTCTTCTCCCCCTTTTGCCCTGTTGGGAAGAATGGTAGCCATTGCCATGAAGCTATGTCTTGAGAGGCCAGGAGACTGTGTCCTTCAGGAGAGAGGGGCGGTCGGGAGGCCTGGGTTTAGTGCTGTGCCCTCCAGTTACCTGACAGCACCACGCAGGAGCCCTGGAGTAGAGGGGACGTGAAAGATGGGACTCAGAGCATCCGGGGGAGGTGCCTGAGCTTCGCAGATCCAAGTCCTAGGAAGGCAAGGCTTGCTTGGGACGTGAGAGTGGAAGGGTCAGGTGGTCCTTGCTGTGGAGGTGTTTGCTGTACGAGGGTGTCTGTTGGTATTTTGCGGGATTTTTTTTTTCAGGCAGCCGTGAAGGGGACAACATAACTGTGCTGGGACTGGGGTCCTTGGGGGGTTTGTCGGCTGGGTGAGAAGCATGCTCACTGATCCTTCCTGGTGTTAGGTCTACTCCTCCTCCCTGAGACTGAATTAATTTGCCCAGGTGTCCCGCGTACTCCTGCAGCACTTCCAGAGTGAAACAGATGCCGGGAGCTCACGGACTTCAAATTAAGTGCTTAATAATGGCAGCCATTCTTTTCATTTCTGCCTCCCTGCCTGCAGTCTGAGCTGTGGAAAGATGGGGCTGCCTTCCTGCCCTTTCTGGGGCCTAGGAGCTGCCTGGGGAGTTGATGGTGTGGATTTTATGTTCATGAAGGCCTTTGGGTTTAGACAGTCGGTTTGTATCTTCACTCTCTGGTTGGGGTTTTGGTTGTTGTTTTTATCTTGACAGGCTAGCATCAGCTGGCTGACTGGTGACTGGCTTCTGTGTAATGCGGTCCTACAGAGGAACGTGGGGGCCTGAAACTCCCTCTTATGGCTAAATCCGTACCTGCCAAAATTTTGTTTCAACATCTCTGTGTGAGAAGATGAATAACATTTAACTTGTGGAAATGGTTTTTTAAAAGCATCCTCCGAAGTTGAGGTTTGGAGAAATTGCTGAGCATTTATTTCTAAACTGTGTCTCTGCAGATTGGATGTAGTGCACAGTACTTGTATGTCTGTGTAGGTGTTTAATTTTGCTTCTCACTGATTTCTAGGTGGATTTTATTTAAATTAAAACCTATGGACCATAGTGTTGTAGATTGGGCTAAACAGATGATGAATCAGTTACATGTTTAGATGTAAGTCTGAGACATTTGTCTAAGCCTCGATATTGGCTTAGTTTGTGTAAATTGTGTCTGTCTTGTATTGTGAGCCAGGCAGTGTCAGTGGCCCCCACTAGCACCAGTGGCTCGGGAAGCTGGGGCCTCACCTGCTGTGCTCTCTGCCCTGTCACCCTTACCCAGCCTAGGTCTCCGCATGTGGCAGGTGCTTAAGAAATATCTGCTGTGTGAATGAATGCCACCTGATAGGGTCCTGCTTAATTCCAGTTTTACTATGTCTTAAAGCCAATGTAAGAACATAATTGATCTTGGTTGCTGAGTACCAAGCATCATATTAGGCTCTTACTTATGGGTCTTATTTAATATTGATAGCGTGACCTTGACCTCATTTTCTTCTTGAGAAGGCTCAGCATCCTGGAAAGACTAGGACTGTGCTCAGGCCTCTGGCTCGTGTGTGTGGGGCCAGGACTCTGCTCATAGCCCAGGCTGATCCTAAAGCCCATGTTCTGACTTGGAGAGCCCCAAGGTTTTGCTCTTGTGGTTGTACGACTGGAGACTTACTGAAAGTCGACCTAATAATACTATTCAAACTTCACTTTTAGGGCCCCTGTCAATCTTGTACTTGGACATTGGAGCAGGGGGTCTGGGAAGAAGGTGTAGTAGCCGTCCAGCCTCCAGCATTCCCCAGTACACACCAGTAAAGTCACAGGGGAGAATCTCAAAACTGTCGACACTGTGACCCATTGAACCCGAGGCTGCCAGCCTGTGTGACTTCACTGTCAAATGCCTCACTTGGGAAGTGACTCCCTAGTGGTCACAGCCACACAGGGTTTTCATCTACCTCCTGCTGAAATGACCAAAGCTTGGCCCGCCTCCTAGAGGTGGGCAGCAGGCAGAAGTGCCACCAGGTGCATGAGGCACCAGCTCAGGGCAGTGTGGGATTGTCCTGGGAGCACACCTGCTAAGTTACTGCTTTGGAAACTGAACTATAATAGTGAAGCAGAATTGGCATTACACTTTAATAAAATAGTGTGCACTGCCCAGAAGGCAGATGTGCGCTACTGTATTTTCCAAAAGTAATGATGGGAAAAATAAAGTGCTAAAAATTCCATAGGTAGCTGCAATGAAAGTCTCAGTGATAGACCAGTGACTGTGTGTAATCTGAGACATCTGGGAGCTGATCAGGAACATCAGAGCTGAAGGTGTGGCCGGGCACAGTGTCTCACACCTGTCATCCCAGCACTTTGGGAGGCCGAGGCGGGGATCATCTGAGGTCAGGAGTTTGAGACCAGCCTGGCCAACATGACCAAATCCCATCTCTACTAAAAAAACAAAAATGCTCCAGGCACGCACCTGTAATCCCAGCTACTCAGGAGGCTGAGGCAGGAAAATCACTTGAATCCGGGAGGCAGAGGTTGCAGTGAGCCGAGATTGTACCACTGCACTCCATCCTGGGCGGCAGAGCAAGACTCTGTCTCAAAAAAAAAAAGAAAAAGCCAGAAGACCAGGAAGCACCTGCGACTGGGCTCTGTGGGGGAGCAGGGCGCTGAGAGGGAGCTCTGTGGGTTCAGCCTTCACACTTGTTCTTAGAAGAAGAATGAGGCATGGATATACCTGTGGAGGTCTGTGTGGGCTAGTAAAGTTTTATTGCTTAAATATTACCAAACTACCCAGAGAGAACTGTCACAAAAATAAGTTCTAAGAGTGGAGATTTGGAGGCAGTCATGATTCTTCTCTGCCAGCAAGAGTCCTGTTTTCTGAGGCTTCTGTGTCTTCCTGGGATCCCCCCCTCCATTCCTGCTCCACTGCCAGGCAGCAAGACGAGGAGGCCTGTGCCAGGTGGAGGGCAGCTGCCTCATGTCCTTACTTGAAACCCGATGAGTCTCTGCTGGTCCGTCCGTCCCTCCCTCTGTCAGCGAGACATTCACTGATTGGGTTGCTCTGTGCTGGTTCCAGAGCTGTGTGTTCTGGATGCGGAGGGTGTGAGAGAGCTTCACCATCTTGCCCCCCAGGGAGCTTGCGGTCTAGGAGAGGCAGTAGATAAGTCACAAAGACCAAAACAAGGCAGTTTTGTGAGTGGGCTGTGTCATAGAGTAAATAGTAGTGATGTGTGGAATCTTTCTTTGTTTAAGGCTGTGTCTTTAAACAATAAAATTACTCTCAGACTAAGTTGGGGGGAATTGTTTGAGTAGCTTGTTAAGTGTGCATTAAGCCTATTATACTTGAACTTAAGTATTTGAAGGAAATAGTACTGTGTTCTGTGGTGGTTTTGATGAAAGATACTCACATGTGCACAAAACACTTACCCAGAGGCTTTTCTTCCAGAGCTCTTTGACATCTGTCTTGCTCGAGCCAAGGAGAGGTGGCGGTCCCTTAGCACAGGAGGCTCCGAACTAGAGAACGAAGGTAGAGTCTATTCTAAAACCAGCGTGCTGTTGTGGTCAATTATGTTTGTCATTCTTTATTATGTAGTGAAGGAAGTTTACTTAACTATAGTAGAGATTGATGTGGATTCATAAAAAGCTTCACCAGAAAAGCGTTGTTTTTTGTTTTTAAAGCAAAAATTAAAGGAAGAAAGCTTTATAAGAAATTGGCCAGGTGTGGTGGCTCATGCCTGTAATCCCAGCACTTCGAGAGGCTTAGGCAGGTGGATCACAAGGTCGGGAGTTTGAGACCAGCCTGGTCAACATGGCAAGACCCCCGTCGCTACTAAAAATTCAAAAATTAGCCAGGCTGGTGGCAGATGCCTGTAATCCTAGCTACTTGGGAGGCTGAGGCAGGAGAATCGCTTGAACCCGGGCAGTGGAGGTTGCAGTGAGCCAAGACTGCACCACTGCATTCCAGCCTGGGCAATAGAGTGAGACTCTATCTGAAAGAAAAAAAAAAAAGCAAATAAAAATTAACTGGATGTGGTGGTATGCACCTGAAATCCCAGCTATTCAGGAAGCTGAGGCAGGAGAATCACTTGAACCCTGGAGGTGGAGGTTGCAGTGAGCCAAGATCTCACCACTGCACTCCAGCCTGGGTGATAGAACAACAGGACTCTGTCTCAAAAAAAAAAAAAAAACCCAAAAAAGAAAAGAAAAGAAATAGGATTTCCTAGTTTCTGACAGTTGTTTGTATCCTGACATGCTGCAGGGCCGGTCGTCATCAGTGTCTTTTTCTTTAAAGTTGTTCACGTGACTTTTAGTTGAATATTGGCTTATAGAGGAACTCAGAATTACAGAGACAAGAACACTGCATGTTTACTAGATTATGCCTTTGGAATTTTCCATAACACACAAGAAAGATTACTTCTGTTGGTTAAGAAGCACATTATTTTACTGATCATTTTTACAGTCTGTGGTATTAGAATTCAAAAAAGCATAAAACAAATTATTTATGATGACTTGTTAGAAATATTATACACTGGCTGGGCACAGTGGCTCGTGCCTATAGTTCTACCACTTTGGGAGGCTGAGGTGGGCAGATCACTTAAGACCAGAAGTTCAAAACCAACCTGGGAAACAAAAAAAGACCCTATCTTTACCAAAAGATAAAAAAGAAATGTTACAAGTTTATGATACCGCAGTAGTTTCTATATACAGTGAGTTGACACTGAAGAAGTTTATGATCGATCAGTGATGTGTGTGTGTGTTTTTATGCTTGGAGTTTATTTGTGTTTATTCTCCTACTTGTTTTTGCCTCCCACTGATTGTTATTGATGACAGGTAATATGTTAGATTTTGATTTCAAACTCTGGAAAATACCTAATGATAATCTAGAATTAGCTGGTGTCATAAGATATTTTGTTCTCTAAAGTAAGAGACGCTGCACACTATTAAACACTCTGAAGGTACACTCCGAGTTAAGTTGTGATTAGGTCAGTGTACTTCTGAAGAACTTTTTTTCGTGTTTCATTCTTGTAAAACTACAAAGCCTTATAATTGTTCTACACTCATGCCCACAAGGAATGTAATGATTTTTGGCATCTTTTGACAGATGCTGGTTTTTCAGCAGCAGACAGAGAAGCCAGTCTGGAGCTTATTAAACTGGACATTTCTAGAACGTTTCCTAATCTCTGCATTTTCCAGCAAGTAAGTCGTGGTGACTTGTTGCTTTCAAGTGTGTTTGTCTAAAATTCATAGATGCTGAACTGCATATATCTGTTGTCAAGTTTGAAAGGTACTTAGGTTTTTGGGGGGATATTAGGAGGTAGAGTGGATATTACTGTTAAATACATTTAGACTTTTTAAAATAAATGTAACTGATTCTTTCCAACAAATATTTAGTATGTCCATACTTGTTCTCCAAAAGACAATTCTGTCTTCCTCTTGAGATACGTGTCTCAGAGTCCCTGCAGGTCTGGTCTGAGAGGGTCCCCATGGCTCTGTCTGCTGGTACTTTCCTGGACACTGCTCTGCTCTCAGGACTGTGCAGCAGTCTGCAATCAGCAAGGCCATCGTGGTGTAATGGGCTTCGGCCCAGATGAGCCCAGGGCAGTGAACTGGTGTGAGAAAGGGAAATCCTTGGCAGCTGGGTGCAGCCAGGGTGGGTGGCTGAGCTGAGTTGACAGGTTTCTGAGCAGGTAGACCAGGAGAACAGTGCAGCTGTGGGAGATAGGACAGGCTCCTTGGATGGCAGGAAAAGCAGAGTGGAGCCCCCCGTGGGCATCTGGGCGCAGGACAAGGCTGCCAGCAGTAGGTTTTGGGGTCATCTGAGCTGAACTCTTTAAAGACCTTCCATGTTTTGAGCCAGCAGACGTTGATCTAGGGGTCTTTTGACCCCTTTCTTATCTATAATGGGTTTTTGGGGGGCAGTTGTCCCTGCAGAATACCTCTGCACCTGTCCCTTGTCTGTTCTCACTGCCTTTACTCAGTCAGGTTCTCATCTTTGTGGATTTCCATGTGGGTCTTCAGAAGTTGTTTCAGAAGAGGAAATGAGGGAATCTATAAAGCTACCAGCAGCCTTGGTGGTGTCTGGCGCATGAGCCCAGTGAGCACCGTGCTGCCTTGCGGCAGGCAGTTGACTTAGCTGGGAGCCTGTTTCCTGGAACTCCACCTCTCCCACAGGGCAGATTCCAGCATCTCTGCTCTTTTCTCCCCCGTTAGTATCCATAGGCTTTGCAGCCCTGCATCGCTGTCTTGGAGCTGCTTCTCCTGGTTCTTGCTATTGGAGGGGAAAGGCTTTCTCCCCCAGCCCAAAAGCCCTTCCACACTGACGGTTCACGTGGTCCCTCATCAGGCTCTCAGAGGGATCCAGGAGAGCTGGCTTTCTAGAAAGATGTTTCACCTTTTATTTCAAACAGATTTGGGCTTTAATCACAGATTGCCTTCTTACTAGCTTTGAGTAAATCAATCTTTTTGAGCCTTAGCTTGTTCATCTGTAACGGGGGTGATCATACCAGCCCAACAACGCTGTTGACAGTACTTGGCAGATAACAGTGCTTGTTGTTATTAAATCTCTTTGAACATAATTTGAAACTAAAAGACAACTAAGTCCAAGCAAAGTTCAAAGAGCCACCAAATGCCAGTCTAAGGACGAGTGCACCTGGGACAAAGTTTTATCCAGGCCAAGGATAAACAAGAAAAGCGAGCACCAGTCAACTTCTCTTGGAGCTAAGTGTTTTTAACTTAAAAGGCTTTCTACTGTTGTAATTTCGATCCTTCCGTCTCATTTGGTGCTAAATGTCATTTCTGAAATGAGAAAACAATGCTAGGAGATGGCACTTCCTGATTTTAAATGCCCTTAACTGCTGTTGGACACCTCGCTTCCCCCACTCTCCCTCCCACTGTTCTTGCATGCTTTTTAGCACACTCGATCTCTGCTCATTAGAAAGGCTGCTAAGCTACTTTCTACCAGGGTTGAGAGATCTCTACACTGGATTGAAAACCCGGAAAAAAGCTTCTTTGGCCTTTGCCCACCACTCTGTCATCACACTTCTGCTGCCACCTGGGCATTTGGTGCTACTGCAGACCCCCATCCCCACCCTATCCCTGGTTGTTATCATTTTTACCCTCTCATTACGATTTTTCCTTTTGTCCCTCTGTGATTTGGAACTGTCTCTTCTTTTACTTACCTCTTTTAACTTGCTGGAACATGATGGTCTGGGCTGGAACATGATGGTCTGGGCCATGGCATTCCTTTGTAAGCACCTGAGGTCACCTGTGGAATGACTTCCTTGTCTTTTAACCATGTGTGATTTTTACTCCTTGTGTTAGGTGTAGGTACCTGGTAGACATAGGAAGTTTTTGGGACTCAGCCAGCCCTTTTGTAGTATCTTCTCACTTGTTAACTTCAGTGAGCTGTGCTCCATTGGGAAAAAAATTCTAACACTTTAATTTTTGGAAGCAGTTACAGGAACAAGTGGAGATGTTAGAGGGATGGGAGAGCTGGGAAAATTTTTAAACAACATGGTAGCCACCACGACTTCGGAGAGTTTATTTCCTAAACCTGCCATTCAGAAAAAACAACAGAAACCAAGAGAATGATAAGCTAGGGAAGAGAGGCAGACAATCTGAGTGACACTGAGCAGTCACCTGCTTTGAAGAGACCCCGGACACCTGGCTTTCCTGGTGACTTTGAAAGGGATCACAGTTACACAGCAGGAGCCAAATAAAGCATATTGGTCCAGGGTGATGCTCCTGCCTGGCCTGCCAGCTTCTTTTCAGAGCAGTGTCATAGCGTGAGCTGCAGACTTCTCTGGCTGTGAATGGGTAATTGGTTGAATTCCATATGCATATAGAGCTGCTGGCATCATACTTGGCATATTTCATAATGCTGAAAATAGCAGGAGTGGCTGGTGGCAGCAGTAGTAACCTGAGATGCCCCTCTGAGCACTAACCATACTTACGCATGTGTTTTGCTGTGTTGATCCTTTCAGGGTGGTCCATATCATGACACGCTGCACAGTATTTTGGGCGCTTATACTTGTTACCGACCAGATGTGGGTTATGTAAGTGAAGTTTCTCAGTATTCTATAATGTTATTATCTAAAAAGAAAGTCAGATACTGTCCAGCACATGTTAGCTGCAAATGTCAAGCCAGTGCCTTCGTTTTTACCGAGGAGTATGAAAAGTCTTGGGGTAAGTGAGTTGACTCAGTTTCCTCTTAAAGAAATTGAGTTGTCATGGCCGCTCTGGGGCATTAATCACATTTTAATTGAATGCGATTTTCATTTTTTGCATGTGATTTTTTTCCCCAATGTTCAATCAAAGAAGCCTTAACCACTTTAAAAGCAGTAACCATTAAAAAGCACTGCTGATACTTCTGTGGCTTCGCAAATGTGTGCGCACGTGTGGTTTGATATTAAGCTTACTGAGTTATATAGATACGTGCCTACAGCACTGGGACACTGGACACAGGAAAGAGCAGTATTGCAGATGCAGAGGGCCTAAGAGGGCGCTTTAGGGTTTCCTGTTTGCGGGGTGGGAGCAGGCCAGGTGGCTGAGGTGGCAGAGTAGTAGTTCTGAGTTAGGGCAGCTCGGCATCGGGTGGAGGGTGGTGTGGGATGCTTGTGTGGACCCTTCTAGCTTGAGGGTGTCAGGTTTGTCTCTGATGAAATGGATGAGCCGCTCTGACCCTGTGGCCGCTGATTTTAACGTCCGTTTCTCTCCCTTCTCAGGTTCAGGGCATGTCCTTTATAGCGGCAGTGTTGATCTTGAACTTAGATACTGCAGATGCCTTTATTGCTTTTTCTAATCTTTTGAATAAACCCTGTCAAATGGCGTTTTTCAGAGTGGACCATGGCCTTGTGAGTATCCTCTGTGTTCGGGCCCTGGGTGCTGTGTCTTTAATGTCAAGAGTTGTTTACTCGTCTGTGTTTTCAGTGGAAAAAAGAATACAAGAATACATTCTCCCTCTGTGAAGAGCTGTTTAGAGTGAGCAGCACTGTAAGGTGGAGGATGATTTGGGCAGTGGATCGCACGTAAGCTTAAAAAGACATGGTTAGTAGCCATATGTCTGGGTTTCTTAATACGTGTTCTCGGAAAAAACTACCTGTATTTTTGAAAACATATTCTTTAATGAAGGAGGAAGTGTGGCTCCTGCTTAAACGTACACACTTGGTGTCAAAGGCACGGTTTGATGGCAGTGCCCACATTTGGGCCTATTACGTAGAACACATCATAATCGAACTGTGTTGCTGCTCGTTGTCACCCTGCTTCATGAAGTGTGCCCACACTCGGGAGAAAGGAGGCACGCTGAAGACCATACCTCCTTCGTTCTTCAAAAGGCAGCCGTTTGTTTAGTGGACTGCTTTAGTCTTTATGACACTACATAAGCGGGAGGAGGCGACAGTGGGGGTGGGACTTACGCCTCCCAGATGAGCTGGCTGCACGGTCCCGGTGACGTGTTAAGATTCAGAGTAAAGGGACTCGCTCGTTCAGGGCATGCATCGGGTAAGATCTGGTAAGTGAAGGAGCAGAGATTTGAATCCATTCTGGTTCCTAAGCCTTTGTTCTTTCCGTAGCATAGAAGCCACCGATTCAACAAGCCCATCAGCCTTTTTTTATTTTATTTTTTTGGTGACAGGATCTTGCTCTGTCACCCAGGCTGGAGTGCAATGGTGTGATCTTGGCCCACTGCAACCCCCGCTTCCTGGGTTCAAGTGATTCTCATGTCTCAGCCTCCCTAGTACCTGGGATTACAGGTGTCTGCCATCATGCCCAGCTGAGTTTTGTATTTTTAGTGGAGATGGGGTTTTGCCATGTTGGCTAGGTTGGTCTTGAACTCCTGACCTTAAGTGATCCACCTGTCTTGGCCTCCCAAAGTGCTGGGATTACAGGTGTGAGTCACTGTGCCCAGCCATCATTGTCTTGATTTGCCAATAATTATTACCAATACTCCAAGACTAAAATGATCTAATAGTTTAGATCAGCTAAGGAGTATCTCTTCCTCGATATCTTAAGGTTTACTGAGTGTGTCTTGCTCAAATAGTACATACATAACATCTTTAGAAGCTGTTGGCAGATTTGGTAGCTGTTACCAGGACTATAAATTGGCAGAGTCCTTTTGGAAGACAGCTTCGTATTCATTATCAGTAGCTGTAAATAGCATTGGTGTGCAGTTCTGCTCATAAGAATCACTTCCAGGAAAGGCCTAAATGTGGACAAAGCGTTATGCACAAAGATAGTAATTGCACACTTATTTACAATTGTAAATGTGAAAATAGGTGAAAATGGGCTTAGGAGAATACAGAATGGTAAATTAAAATTTGGTAAGTGATCAGTAGCGATGCTTGCAAAGAACTGCATTGTGAGAAAGTGTTCAAGATACTGATTTCTTCAAAGGTATGTAAGATAAAACATAAACTGTAGTGGCTACCGTGTTTAACAATACAAGGAAATATGCCACCAGATTAGTAGTGTTTATGGATGGTTAAATTACGGATTAATACTGTTTGTAGGTTTCCTAAGTTTTCTACAGTGAGTGTTTACAGGTATGACTTTTATAATCAGGTAAAAACTTACCTTTCCAAGAAAAGTAATGGTCAGAAACAGAAAAAAAATTAGGAAATGTTCTTACTCTTGAAATAACTCATTGGCACTGTATATACTGGCATTATGCTGCTTACGATATTAATTCCTGGAAATGATTACGGCATGTAAATTTTATCATTTTATAAATAATTAAATGATTTCCATCTAAATTTCTTCTGATTTCGAAGATAAGACCCCAGCTTTCTCTTTGGAAATGTGATGGAAATTGTGCTTAGGAATTGTAGCTTGTATTTTTAATGAAAAACCATAGCGTGGTAATGTTGAGTGGGGTCTTCATCACAGCAGCACGTTTCCTCCCCAGCAGCCCTGTTGGCATTAGGGCTGTGCAACTCTGCTGGGGGGTGTGCTGTGCACTGGAGAGTGCTCAGCAGCTTCCCAGCCTCCACACAGTCGTGCAGCCAGCACCTGCCCCCAGTTCTGATGACCAGGAGTATCTCCAGACATTGACCAGTGTTCCCTTAGAGGCAGAATCACCCCTTTTGGGAGCCATTGTCTACAGTCCAGCCCCTGTATTCGATGAGCAGACACCAGAGTTGTGATCTGCCCCCAGGCGCCCAGCTGCTGAGCACTGGAGCAGAACTGGGCCACCATCAGAGAGTGTTGCCCAGCCGCGATTCTTTCTGCTGTCAGCGTGGCTTCCCAGCTTTGTACGTTTTGTTTCCTGAAAAACTGTAAACCACTGAGAAGCCAGCTCCGTAAACTGCAGGCTGCGACACCCTCCTTTCCCTGTAGTGTTTTCTCCTTCGTCGCATTTGAAGGTCTGCGTCTGTCAGCTGGAGCGGTGTGGCCTTGACTTAGACATGAGTAGTGTAGTCCCCCAGAGGTGCCAGGGGAGGGAACGAGACCTGCCTGCTTTTCCAAATACTTGTACATACTTCATACATTCCTGGTTTTTAGGAAAGAGTGAGTGAGTCTATACACGCTTAACCTTTGCAGTGGGAGGGCACAAATTCATTCCCAGCGTCACCACGCACCAAGGCCGTGCCCTTATTTGGCAAGTTACGTAACTGCTTTGGGTTTTGGTTCCCTTTCTGTACATTGAAGAAGATAAAGTGTAGCTATTGATGTTATTGTGAAGATTAGAAATAGAGCTTGCTTATAATTTGTGTAGTACCTAGAAGGAATTGCCATTGAAAATGTATTAGTAATTACATAAGAAGGTAATTGTTAGAGTCTAAAGGTATACATATATTGACATTTTTGTAAATTGGAAACGTGCAGATAGTTTCTTAATAAATTTCATATTATCTCCCTAGATGTTGACTTACTTTGCTGCATTTGAGGTATTCTTTGAAGAAAATTTGCCGAAATTATTTGCTCATTTCAAGAAGAACAACTTAACTCCAGATATCTACCTAATTGATTGGTAAGACTGGCTTTCCCTGTGTTTCCAGAGCATTTCTCAGCCCTTGCCCGTTCTTCCCTCTCCTCTTTGCCATCTTTTTCATGGCCCGGCTGAGTCCTCATGTCCTGCTTTCCAGCCTTCCCTGATGGCCCTGCCCCTGAGTTTTATGACCATCAGTGCCTCCACCTGGCCCTCCTGCACTCCCTCATGGGGAAATGGTACCTCACACCTGCTTGTTTCCCAAGTGCTGTCCATTCCTTAAACGGCCTGACCCTAGCACCGGGCCGTGCAGGCTCCTGCTGCGTATAGAAGTGGAACGAGGAGAAGGCCAGCTCTTGCCTGTCAGGAGCTCCTGGCTTGTGGGAGGCAAATGTGTCCGTGGCCACTGTCCATGTGAGATGAGTGCTATCTTGGAAAGCAGGAGGTCCCAGACCCAGCGCAGGGGTCAGAGTGCATGGAGCAAAGGTAACAAGTGCGTGTGCCATTCCAGAGTCAGCGGGCACGGGCACTGTAGCCAGGTTCCCTTGTGTTGAGGCTGAAAATAAAGGGCAGAGGACAACAGGCAATGAGGTTGGGAGGCCAGGTCACGGTGGCTCTTAGACCCAAGCTCTGGAGCTTGGGCAGGATTGCAGGGCGGTGGGGAGTGGCAGAAGGCTTCTGCTTGGGATGAGTGTGGGGCAGAGTGAGCTGAGAGTTTTAAGTTACCTGGGAGGCAGCAGAGCCTGGGAACAGAGAGACAAATTAAGGGGAAAAAAGCCGAAGTGAGTGGGAATGTTGTGGATCTGTCAAAGAATCATGGTCAGCTCTTGACAGCAGACTGGGGAGGGGATTTGCTGATGCCTTCAGCTGAGATCAGAGACAAAGGGAGAAGATGCGGTTGGGGCGGTTGGGGCGGTTGGTGGATCTGACTTTGGACGGGTGACTTTGAGGTGCCTGTGGGACATGTAAGTAGGGGCTCCCTGAGGCAGACACAAGGACCCCAAGAGATCTGGGCAGCAGCAGTCAGCCAGGCAGGTCTTCATGCTGTGAGGATGGGGTGCAGCTGTTAGCCCAAGAGCACCGTATTTGAGGGGCAGGTAAGAGGGCTGGCAGGCCTGTGCGTGGAAGGGAGCAGCCTCTCAGATCACACAGTGGGAAGAGGGTGCCTGCGGGATCCAGCAGCCCCAGCCCAAACGCATCTTCTCCCGTTACTGCCTTGTGGCCTTGGCGAAGGCCGTGAAGCCCGTCTGAGCCCCCAGTTCCTCATCTGGAGACCCCATTGATTAACTCCACAGGGTGCCCGTGTGGCACCACCCAACTCACAGAAGTAAAGAAGGTACTACTCTACCAGAAAGGCCCGTTCAGCCTTTGCCACTAAACTGTGTGGTAAATGTGCAGCCGCTGTGGACGGATAGCTGGCTGGTCCGGTTTTGTTGCTGTTGCCTACTTTCTTCAGCAGGGAAAGGCCTTCTGGAAGGTAAAATTCAAGGATCATTTGAAAGGAAGCCGACCCCTTAGCTAAAGCAGGCTTGTCTGTGCCCTCAAGAGTGTGCCTTTGGGATTCTTCGTTTGTTGCTTTTGTCTTAAACCCTGGACTGTTTTCACTTCACTGACCTTTGCCAAGAATGACAAGTGTTTTGGAGGTTGAATCTTGTAGCTGAACCCACAAGGAGCTGGAGACTGAGGACAGTGAACATGGGCTGTGAATTGCCCTGGCGGGACCGCTGGGCTAGCCTGCCAGGCTGTGCTGGATAGAAGTGTGTAGGGCCCACTTGAAAGGGCACCTTTACTCAGCAAATGGTGATTTTCTTCACACCTGTGAACATGGAACTCCTGCAGAGGCTGCCCCGCAGTCTTCATCTGACTGTGAGCTGTGCCCCTCAGATTCCCTGGCTGGAGCCACAGTACTGGAGGACGGGAGAGGATCCAGCCGAGCCGTCAGCTTCTGCCTTATCTGTTTTAGACTTCCGATTAGCTTTTGAGGATTCTAGACTGAAAGTCAATAGTGTCTTTCAAAATTTTCCCACCTTTACTTGCAAAAGGAAATGTGTTTTAAGTTGTGACCAGTGTGTGCAGAAACTTAACACGTGTATATGCTGGGAACAGGAGTTCCGTGACCCAGTACCTAACCCTGACCGTGTGAAGCATTCTGAAGTATTGTTTTCTGTTCTGTTTATTCAAAAAAAATGCTGGCGTCAATCTACTTTCGTTGCCCTCACAGTCCACTGGCCGTTGGCTGGGTCATGCCAGGTAGTGTGAAAAATGCAGGCCTGGAGGATAGAGCTGTCTGCTTCTGTCCCGGCCTGAAGATGGCTGTAACCCATGTAGGGGCAAAGACAAAGGGCACCACATCTATTGACTAGTGCTTCTCACACATGCCCTCTATAAGCCCTTGGAACAACCCCTCCAAGCCCAGTGTAACACTTGTGTTTTATAGATGAAAAACGGAGGCTCAGGCCGGGTGTACCTGTTCATGCCTGTAATCCCAGCACTTTGGGAGGCCCAGGCAGGTAGATCACTTGAGATCAGGAGTTCGAGACCAGCCTGGCCAAGAAGGCGAAACCTCTCATCTCTGCTAAAATACAAAAATTCACCAGGCATGGTGGTGCACACCTGTAATCCCAGCTACTCAGGAGGCTAAGGCACAAGAATCATTTGAACCTGGGAGGCAGAGGTTCTGCAAGCCAAGATTACACCACTGCACTCCAGCCTGGGTGACAGAGTGAGCCTCTCTCTCTCCAAAACAAAAAACAAAACTGAGGCTCAGAGAGGCAGAATACATTGGCCAAGGTCCTGTGGTCAGCCGAATGCAGACCTGGTGTTCAGAGTCTAGCCAGCTCTAGAGCTGTGCACCTCCCTTAGCGTCTTCTAAGGGGGTTTGTGTAAGGTAGTGGCACCCATAGAATGGGTCCCCTGCTCAGGTTCCAGAGACAGGACCAGCGTGTTGAGTGGAGAACGTGGACTGGACTATCTGCAATGAGCAGTGAGGCAGTCAGTGAAAAGGAAGCAGCAAGGGTTCTTCACCACCATGGCCTCCGTGCTGTGAGCTGGTTGGTGCCTAGGGCCTTGTGAATGCTGTCCACAGTGCTTCGATGAGGCCTCCCCAGGCCCTACCCTTGAGGAAGTGCTGACTGTGTTCTGAAATAAGCACCAGCTAGGATACAGTCTGTATTTGCAGTTCCAGTACAGGGCTAGGCTGTAATCCCAGCTACTCAGGAGGCCGAGGCACGAGAATCATTTGAACCTGGGAGGAAGAGGTTGCAGTGAGCAAAGATCACACTACCACACTCCAGCCTGGGCGACAGAGCGAGCCTCTATCTCCAAAACAAAAGGCCTATAGAAAGGTTGTGGTATAAGATTCAAGTTGAACTAAGCACAGGAAAGCCACACATATTCATGATTTATTCTCTGAGTCAGCATTTACTGGTGGTCCGCAAGTGGTTCAGGCTCCTTGTTGGGTGCTGACAGCTGAAAGCTCAGAAACAGGGCAGGCAGTGGAGAGGAAGCAAAGGGGGTAGAACAGACTTTACGTAGGCCCTGTCCTAGAAGCCGCCGTTTCGGAAGCCCTCGTCACTGTGGTCTTCAGTGTTCAGGAGAAGGTGTACCTAGTTCTGGGCACAGAGGTCACCAAGGCCTACTTCTCAATGTCACACCCCTGGTGTGAGGTCCAGGTCAATCTGCCTTCAGGGCCTTTGCTTTTTCTGTTACATCTGGCTGCCTTTCCCAGAGCCACGTCCACACCCATCACAGCTGGGCCTGCCTCCGCATTGTGGGTCTGCACTGGGGGGTATAAAGCATGCTCAGTTCCAGGGCTCAGCAACTAACTGCCTGAGCCAGAGAGCCTTCCTCCTGCTCGTAGCAGGGGCTGAGGGGCCTGTGGGTGTGGCCAGCTCAGCGTCCTGGGTGGTTGTGTGGGTACCCCATTAAGATGACTACACTTGGGGTCAGAAAAATCTTCCCTGCCACAGTCTGCCCACCAAGCCTGTTTCCCACCACCCCAGCTCTACCCACACTTTGAGGATGCCCTCTGTTGGCTGCTGCCTGTTTGTTGAAGCTTCGAGAGTGACCTCTGGGTCCCTAGCGCCTGGCCCCATGCCTGGCTCAGTGTCCTAGGTCAAAGACTGCGTCTGTGCCTGAGGGTCACCTGCCTGGGCTTAAAGTCGGGTGCCTGTCCCTCCTCCAGTGCACCCTGTCTACTGCCTAACCAGTAGCTCATGAGGAGTCAAGGCTGAGGATGAGCTTTCCTTGCCGACACCACCTTCCTGGGCCTTCTCTAGCTGTGGCTTCCACTCCCCCCAGGAGGCACGTGGGTCAGAGCAGGGCCTGTCAGCTGTCTCCATCTTCTGCGGAGTTTTCAGTGTTTCCACTGTCAAGGATCTACTTTTTGTAAGAGAACCTAATTTAGGTCATTAAACTTCTGAAAATATTTCCCATGCCATCCAGTGGCAGAATTATCTAGAGGTTTGAGTGGGTTTTATAATAAGTAATCTTGAATTAAGAAAAGAATTGGGCAATACATTCCATGTTGCGGTTAGCGTTTCTTGCAATGATGTTTAATGATTCTTGGAGATCCTGTCATTGCCTCGAGTTTCTACCTTAAAGGAAAGGTTCGAGGGGAATTTCCGCTGCCTCTTGCACATGGCTCATCTCTGGCTCTTCACCTCTGGGGTACAGGTTGCCCCAAGAGTGCCTTAGGAGCAGGAGCTCTTGCTGAGCGCATCTGGTATTGCCTGGGTCTTTACAGGTGTGTGGAGGAGGGAGGAGCAGCCCCTGCCTACACTGGGGACCTGCTTGCAGGGAGGGGCAGCAGCCTGTGCGTCATTGGCACACCCTGACCTGGCTGAAGTGGGAGCCCGCATTCTCATGCGGTGCTCACAATATTTACTTCACTTCTGCTGGCCCCTGCCAAGTGCTGGGAGAGAAAGACTGGAACGCTGCCGGGCTCATGGTGGGGAGGACTCTGGGTCACAGAGGTGGGTTTGTGAACCCCGCTGTGCTCAGGTTTGGGAGGACTCCGGGGCACAGAGGTGGGTATGTGAACC